TTTTTTTTTTTTTAAGCTGGAAGCCCAGTTTAAAATCTTATGAAAAATAAAGGCCCACAGTGAAAGGATGGGGAGACTCCAACTGAGCTGTAATTAAATGTTTTTTCCTCTTTGCTTTCTCTCAGAGAGTAAGCCAGATGCCGCCCTTTCCAGAGAATAAGTTACCAGACCATGATGTGAAGGAACAACTTTATTCAGCAGCATGACAAGGATTTGAGCTGGCACTTTTCAGCCAGAATCCGTTAATACACACGAGCACACACGTGCGTGTGCAACACACACACACACACACACATACACACACACACACGCAAGTCTGTTTCAAGTTTTAATGAATGAAAGAAATTCATGTAATAGCCATTCTTAGTTTTTAAATGTCTTTTATTACTGAAGTAGAAAATATAAATGTAATCGATACACCAGCTGATTTTAATGCTAGAAAGCTTTGATCCTTGATTTTTCTAGTGCAAAATCCCCAAAACAAGTGTTAATAGACTAGAAAAGAAGCATCAGCTGAAGAAAATGGCGGGAATGGACTATAATGGGAATAGAGAATTAAAAGGACAGACTTGAAGAAAGTTCTGCTGTCCTACAGCACACATTCCTAAGAAATTACTGCACTGTGCAACATTGTGTAATAGAATCCACATGAGACTCATTAGGGGAATGGGGTTACGGGCACAGCACTCAAAACTTCATTAGTGACTCACACAAAAAAGATAGGAACCTAACAGAAACAGTAGCACAGTTTTCCATGGATTAAATGGTTAAAAATAGGTGAATACTAGAAAACGAACCGACATTTGCTTCTGGAAGCAGGTGTTGGAAGAGCTGCAGCCTGTGAGTTACTCTGAAGTAGTGGACGGAGGTTATCTGAGATCAAGGGAAAGTTGTAGCACCAGTTGTGGGTGGGCGTGGCTCCTCACATCCACGGTGAACTGGGATGCATGGTGGGTGCTTGGGGGAGGGGTGTGTTTTGTGTATGCCCATGTGACTAGGTGCAGCCAGGTGTCATTTTCTGCATTGGCGCAGTACTTTTTGCAGATGAAATCTTGTGAAAGCAGATGCAGTATTTCATTATGTTCAAATTGTGCCTCAGTATATCAGTGGCTTCAGAATAGATTTACTTTCTGAAAATAAGCTTTACGAGCAAAACTGTATTTCATTAGATTGAGAATCTTATTTATATCACTTGATATCAAGAGTAAATACTTTTCAAATACTTTAAAATCACATTTACTCTAAGACACTTGCTTGAGAATTCTGATCCCCAGAGAATAGTGAAAGGGGTGTACTTCATAAAAGTAAGTTTTAGTTGGGAGTTTTCTCCCTGTTCATACCACAAACATGGTATTATTCTTCCTGCAGCACACACTTGTCCTCCGTGAGAAACAGGATGATTTCTGTGGGTGACCATGGAGGAATATTTTAATATTTATTTAAATGTATATAGAAAAAGTACATAACAAGCTCATCAGACCTACTATTTCATAGATACTGTTGTTTGGAGAAATAGTTCCCAGTTGAGGGTAGTACCCTGCGTCACATTGGGTGATATGAGAATGGATTGGAGGGTAGGTTCAGGCTGCCCCTGGCAGAGGGGCATCACTGCTGGTTAAGGGGCAGGGGACAGGACCTCTGATCATCCTGAAATCCTATACAAGAATTGTCCTGTCCAAAATACCAGTGATGCCCCCAGAGAGAGACTGGTTAATGGCTGAGGAGGAGGAGAGAACAGTAGAGCTGATAATTTAAATAAAGATGTTAAGTAAAAAATACTATTTTATGTGGCTTTGGTAAGAATGATGGGAATAATTTGCAGTTGATGGAAGTCCGGAAAGCAGTAGTTGAGGACAGGTAGCAGCAGTGAGCTTTATTTAATAGACCCTGATAGAAAGCACCATGTGCCAGGCAGTGTTCTCATTGCCCTACAAGTGTTAACTTACTCAGCCGTGGCTAATGGTTCTGGAGCATTAGCCTAGTATAAGGCTGCTCTCAACCTTGACTGCACAGTGGAATCACACAGGGGCACTTATAAGAGCCTGCATACCCAGACCACACCCCAAACCAGTTAAATCAGAATCTCTCTGGGTGGGACTCAGGCATCAGTATTTTTTAAGCTCATAGGTTATGCCACTGTGTAGCCAGGGTTGAGAACTACTGGTCCACGGCTGTTTGAAATCACTCCTCCTCACAAGACAAGCTGCACCGATGGTGCACATGTTAAGTGAAGGTCTGCTCCATGCCAGGTCTCACAGAGGCAGAGATGACCCAGACAGGAAGTTTCACCATCCAAGGAAGGCGGCAGAACTGGAAACAGATTTTTACGGTCCTGCCTGACAAGTGCTGGTGCTTTGGAAGGATATTCAGATAGTGTTTGGGGATCACAGAGGGGAGAGAAACTAAATTAGAAAAGAAGAAAAAGAAACAAAACCTCAGATACCAAATTTGGAAAGTTACTAAACTTAAGTTATTTTAGTTTTCCTTTCCATGCACACAGCTTTCATCAGAGTAAAAAAAAAAACAAACACACACACACACACGCAAAAGCAACAGGCGCTTAAAATCACTGTCAATTTAGGGGTGCCTGGGTGGCTCAGTTAGTTGACTGTCTGACTCTTGATTTCAGTTCAGGTCATGATCTTATGGTTCATGGGTTTGAGCCCTGCATTGGGCTCCTCGCTTACAATCCAGAGCTTTCTTGGGATTCTGTCTCTCACCTCTCTCTGCTCTTCCCCCACTTGCACTCCCTCTGGCAAAATAAATACATAAACCTAAAAAAAAAATCACTATCATTTTAGCCATCCTAACTTGCTTTTGGCCTTTGTGCGGTCTGGTTGGACCATTGGAATTTTGTCTGTAGATCAGTATTATAATTTTGTCCTGTTGTGGAAGGTTCTTAAATACCTCATAAAGCATTGTTTAACTAATGGCCTTCTGGGAGTAAGTCATCTCAGCTTCCCAGAGAGCCTCAGGACTGGTTTAAAAAAAAAAAGATTTTAGAAATAAACCGTTTGTGCAGTGCTGATAGTCACTGATTCCAGTTTGCTTAATTTTTTAAATATTCATATAGCTTCTGTGAAGTGGTAAGTAAATGTTGGATCACGTACATTTTAAAACTTAAAGCCAAGCCATGTGTCATTTTAATTTAATTTAATTTATTTATTTTGCCACATGTCATTTTAAATCACAAGTTTAATCGAAGGCAGTCATCACAAGGTACTTAAGTAGATAAAGTTCCTAAGTAATTGACTTGTTTCCGATAGTGCCATTCCTCAGCAGCTCTCAATTTATTTAGTATGGATTGCTTTATGACCAGAAAACCTGATTCTCCAGTGGGTAGACTTATTTTCAGGTAAACCTGTGTAGTCTGTACTTAACTATGAATTACTTCCGGGTTTAAAAAACCAGCGTAGCTCCTCGTGGTATTTTTGTCTTCTGCCTTTGGCATCTTAGCAGTGTGAACCAGAGCTATGCCATCTGTACCCAAATGAGATTATTACAAAAGAGGGAGTAAAATGATTCACTGGAAAATTTCAGCACAGGTTCAGAGGATGATAAAATAACCCTAGAAACATTCTTATTTGGCGTCACATGCTAGTGGGTAGGGACAGAAAAAAAATTAAGGTACAACTCGTTTTTTGACATTTGCGATTCAAAAAATTGGAAAGATGCTATGCTAGAAAGGAAGGAAGGAATCGGTGTGGTGTCAGTTCGTATAGCTGCGTGGATGAACGAATAATTTGCCTCTCTGACTCCTTGTTGGAGCGAGTGAGGTTCATTTCTAGTATACAAAACCAAATATTCTCAGGTTTAGAATGGCTCTTTAATTTCCTAATGGCTATCTGCGTATGATAAACCGCTTTATGCTGAGATGTTTCCGAAGCAGAAGGACCAGTTCCTAGAATCCTAAATAAGTCTGTGAGGCCTAGATAAGCCGTTTCTGAAAGCTGCTGAGTGAAATATATTTTCACTTAGTGACGCATATTTGAACCTAAATGTGTTGATTTCAGGGGACTCTTCCAGGATTCCATTGGAGACTTGCCTGAAACACAGTGTCTTTTTTTTTTTTTTCTCCTGTTTTTCTTTTCAGAAAGAAGACACAGCTCGTCCAGCAAGCCTTCTTGGGCCGCTCCTCCCACTTCAGTATTTCCCTTCTTCCCTTCTCTGTCCAAAAGCAAAGGAGGCAGCGGAAGTGGAAGCAACCGTTCTTCCAGTGGAGGTGTTCTAGGCGCATCCTCATTAAGTTCCAAGTTGCTGAAATCACCCAAAGAGAAATTGCACCTCAGGGGGAACACCAGGCCAATGCATCCCATTCAGCAAAGTAGAGCCCCCCATGGTAGAATGTGAGTATGGCCCAGAGGGTTCTTCGAGCTTCCCTGCCTGTTGTGGAACTGTGCACACCAGTAGCACCTGAAACTGTTGTGAATCATGTGGGGATTCTGTTCCTGTTTTGGGGAAAGTCAAGTGTATGTTGTTTCCTTTTGTTTCCCTGTCGTATTTTGGGAGACTTCACAAAACAGCAACAGCAGTAATAAGGTCAGCGGTACTTGTTGATTGACTCTTTCTTGTGCGCCAGCTGTGGAAACTTGGCTCTTTTTGTGGGCTGTCATTTCATTATCACAACAACCTTATGAAACAGGTCTGGTTGTTATGCCCATTTTGCAGATAAGGATGAAGGACACGTAATGCGGTCGAGGAGCTTTAGCCAAACTCTGCAGGCAGACAGGCCTGGGTTCACACGCCCCTTCTATCACTTTCTAACTGCAGGGCTTTGAACAAGGCCCCGTTGCTCTCACAGTTGGAGAGTAACAGCCAGTGTGCAGTTATTGGGAGAAGTAGAATTAATACAGCAGTCTCAAGCGCCTGGCGTCATGTCTGACCCATAGGAGACAGTAAATGAATGGACGCTGGTGCTTCTTCTGCTGCCATTGATAACGGTAGGAATAAAAAAGTGAGGTGATTCGTAGATGCTGTTCTGGGATTTTCTGGAGCCTGCAAAGCAGACAGGGAAACAATGCCTTCCTCCCATCCCCTCCCCACCCCACCCCCGCCAGTCTTGGGTTCACATCACAGTAGTGATGAGGGAAGACCGGAGGAAGTTCACACCACCAGGCAAGGCTTTGGCACGTTGGCACAGTGGATTTGTAGGCTGCCAGGCACCGTGCGGTCACGTGAGGGCTCAGCCACGTACTCCACAGAAACCTATCTTGCCTCGTCATGGTAGCCCTCAGCCCTGGTGGCGGGTGGCTTTTCCCTGGCCTGCCTCCCTTTGGAGGGTATGCCCCACATCTCCGCCCCAAGGTCTGCTAACCTGGCTAATCTCAGGGCAGTATCTAGCACCTGCTGCCGCTCACGGACCTTGCCAGCTGGGAGAGGCCATCGCTTCTTGCAGTGTTCATACACGCCTTTCTATCACTTTCTAACTGCAGTGCTTTTGAACAAGGCCCTTCGCTGTTTCATGTTGAGAGTAATAATACTGTGCCAGTGTGCAGTTATTGGGAGAAGTAGAATTAATACAGCAGTTCTGCCAGCCATGCCATGTCTGACCCATAGGAGACAGTGCAATGCATGGACTGGGAAAAGCCTCTGCTGCTGCCATTGATAACGTAGGAATAAAAAGGAGGTGATTCAGATGCTGTTCTGATTTTCTGAGCCGTAAAGTGCAGACAGGGAAACAATGCCTCTCCCATCTCCTCCCCCCCACCCCACCGCCAGTTCTTTGGGTTCACATCACAGTAGTGATGATGGTGGAGGAAGTTCACACCACCAGGCAAGGCTCTTTCTTTGGCACGCTACACAGTGATTTTCCAGGGGTAGGGTCGGGGCCAGGCAATCGGGTGTGCAAGGTGTCATGGCCGCGCAGTGGCTCAGCCATCAATGCATCACAGAAACCCATTTCTCATCTTTGCCTCACATGGTAGCCCCTCAGCCCTGGTGGCGGTGGCTTTTCTCCCTGGCCTGCCTGGGAGGGTATGCCCCACATCTCTGCCCTGTCTGCCAACCTGGCTAACTTCAGGGCAGCATTCAGCACCTGCTGCCGCTCACGGACCTTGCCAGCTGGGAGAGGCCATCGCTTCTTGCAGTGCATCTCTTGCTGTCGGGCTGTTCCAGGTACAGCTGTTTGGTGCTGTTTGTCCCGCCGTTGTTAAGCCCCTCCCCCC